CCACACATCGAGAACGATCTCTGGTGTGTCACCGTTTAACCACCTCGAACATCAACATCACCATCATCATCGAAAATCCCGCAGCAAGTAGGTTAGGTTAGGTCAGATCAGATCTCTCTCTCGCCTTGGTTTACATCATGTGGAGAGCATGATGAGCTCCACGCTTACAGAAAACCCCATCCGTCTAACTCTACTCTACCCCATCCCGACCAAGACCTTCTGTAGAGCAAAGAAAACAAAAAACCGGTCCGGTAGATTAGCGCATTACCAAAACCTCAGTCAGGCCTCTCTCTCTCTCTCTCTCTCTCTCTCTCTCTCTCTCTCTCTCTCTCTCTACTAACTAGTTCCCGTGACCCGGACACTTGAGCGCTCTCCTGCGGAAAGGAAAGCTCGCATCATCCAATGAACTGAGGGAGATCGGGTGGATTTTCTCCGCCGGATCGTTTCTGATTCATGGAGGGTAGGGGGGGGGAGACGACTACGTATCAAGCTGGGGACTGCTTCTTTTACTTACTCGATGGGTGAGTGGGGGGGAATGGGGATGGGGTTTCTAGTCGACGGCAGCAGAAGTGGAGGACGATTTGCTCTGCTCTTCTCTTGACATAGGGTTCGGGGGTGGAAGCGTGGGATGTAGTGGTTGATGTCGAGGTACTGTGCTGTCCTGTAGTATAAGACGATGCTTGCCATGGCAGCACACTCATCCCATTCCAGTTGGCCAGCCATAGACGGGAGAGCAGCCACCCTCTTGTGCTAAGCTGAGTTGTCTTTGCGAACGCAAGAGCTGCAAAACACATACGCAAGCTTGCTACCTTTACGACACCACCAGAATCAGAATGGATTTCTTCGTTCTCGGTTTGTTCAAACGAGAGACTCGGCGGATGGTGTCTGTTCTGCCTCTGCAGCAACAAAACTCACTTGCCTCGTCACCCCTCCAGATTAAATGTATTACAGTAAGTAGTGGTAGTAGTAGTAGTAGTAGTAGTAGTAGGTACGTGACAAGGTGGTGTGAACCAATGCCTCCAAATGTCCAGATGTTCAACACAGACGCACACAGAAAAAAAAAAACAGCCGCTTCCAAAACTTTCACATGCTTGTTCCCAAAACAAGAAGTTATGAATCAACCCTTGGCTCAAAGATAAGGAAAAAAGAAATGCTCCTGGAATCAAACACACGTGGCCTAGGATATATATGTAATGCCAACAAGGGTTCCAGAGAAGAAGAAAGTCAATCGAGACCAGTCATGGCCCTGTCGGAAGATAAAACGCAGGGGAAAATAGGTACATGTGACTGGTGAGCTGGGTGGGGGGTATTATTATGCGCACAATTCCAACCAAAACAATAAATCAGAAGTCATTCGGGGTTTTGTTGTTGGCAAATGTGTATGCCTCTGGTTTCTGCGAAGGGAGCTGTTGTGCACCATATCGCTGGGCCTCCTGCTGCTCGGGGAACTCATAGATGAATTCCCGAGGCTTCGAGTCGCCACCCAGCGCAGCTGACATGGGCATGTCCACATCGGTAGTCGTGTACATCAACGACGGAGAATCCGTTACGGAAACATGTTCACCGCTGTTGTCATACGACATCGAAGCCATGTCCGGCTGCGGTGTGACTTGACAGGGGCTTTGGAAAGAAGCTTCAGGAGATGACATGGAGGTCGCATCGGGCCAACTTCTGCCTGTCATTGAGGTTTCACATGATGTGTAGTTATGGAAGGAGTTGTAGTGAGCGGGAGCCGACATTGGCGGAGCTCCCCCGTGATACGGATACCCGGAAAGCATATCCACTGCTAACGGTGTCGCCGGAGGAGAGGCGATGGTGATCTGCATCGGCTGCGTCGTGGGAAACAGCTGGCTGGTCGGTTGTGCCGACAGACAGTAGCCTGCATCACTGGGGGTGTTCGGAAGCAGGTGGTGCAGATCCTCCGGGGTCAGAGGTGTGGGGGGTGCCAATCCACCCGCGGTCACCGTGGGTTGCAACATCGATGACATTTCGGCTTTGGAATTGAGAGAACCCGCTTCGGCAAAAGTCGAAAGGTTGAGAGGCGAGCGTTGTGCGGCGGACGCCTTTCTCACTCCTGCGTAACGAGAGTTGAGTCCTTGCGCCGATTTCGAGTGCCTCATGCTACCGTAACCAGGAAGTCTCCCTGTGGGTGACATAGCCGACGAGCTTGAGAGCATAGACGAAGATCTAGAGATACCAATCGCAGCAGGCCTCGGGCGTTTTCTGCGAGCAGCCAGGTCAAGTTCCTTGCCTGCCTCTCTCCACGAAGCTCGGTCGGCCCCGTGGACGAGCTGCGACAGCCCTTGCGGAGTGTTGATCCCAATACCTTCGAAGCTATCGGCGAGCTCGTCTGACGAGCCCCGTCGGGACAACTCTAGGTCTTGATGGATGGGATATTGAACTGTATTGTAGGAAGCCTCCGCGTCACTAGCCGATCGGTACCCTGAGATTGGCTTGGTCGACGAATGCATGTGACCGGCCCAATCTTCAGAGTGGAGTTGCATATCGTGAGGGCTTTCAAGAGTGGGAATAGTCAGTGACTCGCCACCTGCCGTTACAAAGTCCAAGGAGGTCTGAGATGGCTCCCAGGGAAGCGTCGTCTGTGCATACGAAGGACTCAGGTCACCCGAGCTAACTCTGTGTTCGTCGTGACTATCACTGCGAGGGTTGGCCGCGAAGGTCGTGGTAGGAGACACCGACCCATCCACGCTAGCCGGATGGCTGTTGTCCCCATCTTGGCTATACCGATCGCGCGCCGCGACAGCAGCGTTCAATGCTCTTTGTAGAGACGCGAAAGTGGCCTCTCGGGCCGACTCACTCCTCGTCTTCTGGTGCTTGGACCGCGAAGAGGAAGAGGTCGTCTTTGTCCGCTCGCTGGGCTTCTCGGTTGATGGCTTGGGGGTATCTTCGTGTGCCTCGTCGCTCTTGGTCTTGGCGTCTTGATTCGACTCGGATGAGGTCTCTGTGTTGTCTGACTTCCCCCGGGCAGCCTCTTCGGCCTCCGCCTTGGCCTTCTGCATTCTCTCGAATTCTTCTTGTCGCTTCTGTTGCTTCGCCTTTGCCCGACGGTTCTGGAACCAGTTCTAAACATTCGTTAGCTTTGAAACTTCCCACAGGCTTGTTGCAGCATCGAAGACCACTAACCGCTACACGGGGGAGGCTGAGATTTGTTTGCGCCGCCAATTGACGCTTGACATTGCTGCTGGGCTTGGGGTGGGCTTGGAATTGGGCTTCCAAAGTCTCCACCTGTTCCTTGGTCAATCTCGGACGCGAGAGGTTCTCTGCATATTCGTCGTAGTCCATGATAGGCTGGTGATAGAAATCGACCATGTCAAAGGGGGGGTGTGGGTAGAGGTAGCCATCCATCGGGTGCATCATGGAGGGATGGGTCATTGTCGGATCGAAGGCTACCGGTTGGTGATCCATTGGAACGCCCGTAAAGGCGTATGTGTGATGAAGGTAGTTCATATTGACGGACGAGTAAGTATAGGAGAGATGAGCGAGGAAGGAGGATATGAGAAGGGTGGTCTTGTATGGGGGAGTAGTCTGATTGGGATGGGGTGGAATGCGGTGCGGTGCGGTGCGGTGCGATGCGATGCGGTGTTGGTGACCAAGTGTTCGAGGGCTCCTGACAAGCTGCTGCCAACGGAGCTGCAACTATGACGAGGACAGAGACTTGGTCATCGAACAATTGAACCACCAAAGACTGACTGATGACGATACTGGATAGGAGTAGGAGGGGTGAGTAGATGTGGGATAGGGCGGGAAGATCGGATCTTAAAGGACGAGGATAAGAGATGAAGTGGCGGTAATGATTGGAACGAGTAGACTGGAAGCAGTGGAAAGTATATAATCCTATACTTGCAGTCGATCTGTGGATTTTCGTGTAAAATAGGAAAAAAGAAAACAATTGTCAGAGAGAGTGTTAGAGAAGTTAGCCCAGGAGGAGATGGTGGAGGTGGATGCGACGAAGGAGGAGGGGGGGCGACAGCCAAAACGCAAGAGGATCAAGGAAGGTATAATTATTATGTCCGATGAGGAAACACAGAAAAGGAAAAAGGAGGGAGCGACTAAGCTGACTGGGAAAAGCAAGAATAAAAAACGTGATAATGAATGACTGAAAGAGGAAAAGGAGAGTAAGAGGTGAGGTGAAGTTTGAAGGGAAAAGGGAAGTAAAATGAGAGAGTGACGATGGGATAGGGACAAAAGGGGAAAAAACAAAAAAAGAGACAAGAAGAAAGCAGAGGATGGATTGGATTGGATTGACAGAGGCAGAGCTAAAGACAGCAGCAGCAGCAGAAAGACAAGAGAGCAAGAGACAAGACAGAGACAGAGACAGAGACAGAGGCAGAGGCAGAGACAGACAATTACAGACGAAACAGACAAGACAAGACAAGACAAGACAAGACAGTACAGAGTTGGTACAAGCAGAGAGAGCTCAGTGCAGTGCAGTGAGTGAGTGTTCAGCTCCATAGCTTTGCTCAGTTGGGATTGGTCGGCAGTGAATGGAGTCAGTCGACAGAAGGTGTGGAAGGGAGACTGATGATTGGCGATCGCCCAACCGGAACTGGCTGGAGGTGCAAAGATGCAAAGGTGCAAAACAAAAAAAAAAAAAAAAACAAAAACAAAAAACAAAAAAAAGACTCCAAGATTACTCCAAGATTCAAGCCTGGGCCGGCTCAACTAGTATCAGGGCCGTATTGTAATCCTAACCCTGCTGGAAAAGTCTCCTACAGCCTGCTCTTTACTTTTTCCCTCATTTCTCTCTTTTTCTTTCATTTCCACACCATCAATTGTTGACTGAATGTTATGAATTGCTGTCATCATCAGCTCCCATGACCTTCTAATCCATCTTATCCCTTATCAACAATGCTCTACCACTGAATCGCCCAGCTACGAGCCAGAGGATCCCGAGGATCCAGATGGAGCAAAGTTCCTGCCCCTTCGGGACTAGCCGAGCTGGCCGGATAACGAACCCATTACCAGGTACCGTACGGGGGAGGGATTGCCCGAATTTATTCTTTGATTTGATTTTCCAGCTCCAGTCCCAGTCATGGCGTTCCACTTCCACAACTTACCATCCGCCCCTCCCCCAAAAGACACCCAGAGAGCAAAGCGCTTGCTACCTAAGGGGGTGGCGGGCTGGGCTTACACATTTCTACCAAGCTACCTACGAGTACGACGGAAGCCCTTCAGCCTTCAGGAAGTCTGCCTCCGCGGTTTGCCCGCTCGCTCTTTCTCTTGTGTCTCCGTACCATTTTGTGTTCTTAAAAATAACTCACCCTTCAAGGCTGGCACCCCCCCCCCCCCCCCCCCCCGTTCCCTGGTGGTTCCAGAACAGCAAAACAGAGCGAGGCGTAGGTTAGTTCCGGATATCCCTGGATAAGTCACTGTTTGTCCTGTGTAGTGTACAGTACTTCTGACAGTCGTACTCGTACTATATGGACTCCGTACTTGAGTGTGTGTAGTTAGCGACAAGTATTGACTCATCGCTTCCGAAGCCTACAGGTGCCACTTCCCCCTCGTCCTCTTTCTTCTTCTGCTTCAGAAGATCAATTCAGACAGAAACAACCGGAGGTTGCCAAGAGGGTCTCAGCAGCGTGAATCAATTCCCCCCTCCGCCGTGGCGGTGACGGTTGGTGCTCAGGATCGGTCGCTATCGCCAGGCCGATCGTACGGAGACGAAGGAATGGGTCCACGATGCAACCTGTTCCTCAGCCTGGAGAGGATGCTCAATTGCTTTTTCCTTCCTCGTTATCGTCAGATCCGTCCGAGCGGTGCCGGAAGAAGAGGGCGGCGCGCCCCAGATGGATCGGATCCCCTCTTTCCCTAGAAAGAGGCTGATGATAATGATGCTCTCGCCCGTGCCAGGAATGCGAACAGACTATTGGCCTGACTCCTCTTTGCGCCTTGGAGTACGATTTTTCTTCTCATGTTATGAGTGTTTGTATGTGTGTGTGTGTGAAATCTACCTATTCACCTAACTGTTGGATGGCTTGGCAGAGATCTAAGTTTTGTTGAGTGTGTTCCTCCCCCTTAGACCACAGCCCTCAGACTCAAAGCCCTACGTACTGTACCACACTCGGGCCGGGGCCTTTGGGTGAACCACGGATTACTTGTTCTGCCCCTTCCGCACAATCGCCTCGTCTCGACATTCAAACTTCCCCCCCCCCCCCCCAACCCCCCCGCTCCGCATTCAAAACTCCCCCCCCCCCCCCAAACGCTTCCCGGGGAATGCAAACTCTGGATTCCAGTCAAAGTTTGGCCGGTTAAGCTCCTGTGTCAGCTCGAATTGACAGTCTGGCCCATTGCCCCGGGATTCATGATTCAGAACATGACTGGAGGTGCGAAAACTGTGTAGAGCGCTCATCCGTATGCTGAGTTGGGAGCGTTCCCTGGACTTTCGTCAGTTCCTGCATTAGCGCCACCAACACTAAGGGCCGATTTTAGCTCTTACCAGGGGGAGGGGTTCCATCTGGGAAGATCCGATAAAGACCATTGCTTGTAGTAGTTCCAGTTGCGCCCTCCTCCATGGTTAGCAAGATGATACTGGCTGAGGCGGCAGCAGCAGCAGCAGCTGTTACTGCTGCTCACCCTTCCAAGTGCAGAAAGAGCTGCAACGTCACGTCTCACGTCTTACCGTGCAGAGGAAAAGCAACTCTCGACAAGACCGTCACGACTCACGACCCCTCAAGTGGGTCCGGCGCTGAATAGAGTCAGTTGGTAGCCTGAGGGAAAGTCTGGCACAACCAAGATATGAGTACTCCGTAGGTGTGTGGGTGGATGGGGGCTCAGCTCAGGGTTTGTTCCTACTGGGCCATGCAGCGATCACGGGGACTTTGGGGGTAGTAATCGGGGGTGCGGTCCATGGTTTGTCCCAAGCGGCGCTTGAGATTCACCGTACGTACAGTAAAGTACATATTCTGGATCCGGTTTAGTTTCCCAGCGGTCCGAAGATCCTCTCTTGTCCGGGAGGGCCCCCCCAACTTCCGATTGATATTTGATGATCTTAAGAAGAAAAGAAACAAACCCTTGGGGTCCTATCATATGAAACCTTAGGCACACTTGGCCCATGATTCACAACCAGCACGTCGACCGTAGCCTAGTCCAGTACTTAGGCTCAGGCTGTCATCACATGATGGCAATCCTCCTGTCGGGTCTCCGCAAAAGCATGATGGGCATGATGTGATGATGGCTTCTGTCTGGGTCCAGGTTCACTTATCTTATTACGTTTAGCCTCGGTACTGTACTGTACTGTACATCTGCAATACTTACTATACCCACGGTACAGGATGTACTGTACGGTATGCACACCTACTTTTTCCCATCCTTTGCACTTCCTCGAAAACTCACAATGGCGAAACAATCAAGCGGGGAGCATTGAGTCAATGCGTTTTCTGGGGCCTACGTTTACTGCATGCAGCAAAAGCGAGACTGCGCATTGGCATAATGGCGTGAATAACCTTCATTGTTCCGTTTGGGTGAACAAGGACCAGGACCAGAACCAGAACCAGAACCAGAAAGTAGCTGGCACGGATCTCCAGGACCTGCCTGTCTGTCAACCTTCTTTTTCTCCCTTCCCGCAAGGTTCCTGGGTCAGAAGAGCTTGGAGTTCCTGGATCTGCAAAGGCCGACCACCCCGGTCAGCACTAGAGTAACCCGAAAGGGAGCAATGGAGGGAGACACCTCAGGAAAGTCAGCACTAAAAGCAGATCAGACTTGAAGATTAACAACACTCTGGGGGGGGGGGTTTGCTGCAAGTTTCAACAGCGTGGCAGCTCAACCAGCCTAAGGCCCCACCGCAATCCAATAGTCGACAGATCCTCCGTCGATCAGCCTCAGGGATCGGTGGGTTTCGAACGACGAACGAGTTTCGACTTCCCTTCCCTGCCCCTTCCATTCGAATAGCTTAGTAGCTTACTTCCGAGTTGGAAGTGAATTGGTGAATGGGAGACCAACATTCTTCCCATCTAGAGAATATGCTCCCAGACAGCGGCCCGTTCTTGCCTGTGGCAGACTGTCAAAATCGACTCGGGACTCAAAAACATGCTCCTTCCCATTTCGGCGCTAGTTCGGTATGCAGTCCGAAGAAGCGCCCGCGCGTCAATCAATCTCATGGGCTTACCTGCCTCCAGTAATCCGTAGTCACTGGACAACCTGAAGTTGCTCACGGCCTTTTCCATTTTTCATGGTCATGTTAGGGGCTTCTTAGTTCGAACGCCATCATATGCGCTCTCGCCACACCGGTGCTCGATGGGCAATCAGTGAGTTACTCCGTACTGTGTCCGTAACTACTTACAGCTCCAAAGATTCGCCCATCTGATATACATATGCATGCATGCCATGTGTGCATGGGTCACCACCCTGTTCTTCTGTTGCTGCTGCTGCTTCTTCTGTGAGGTTATTGGGCCCTTTCGGTCTGTATGCGGTGATCTTCGAGACACTGGTTCCTTTGACAGTTAGAACGTTTCCAGGTTCGAATGCTCAATCGCGATTCCATGGGCGATCACTGCATCAGTGTTGATTCCACGATAAAGTCTCTGGAAGAGCTCCCAAAACTACCTAGAGCCAAGTCCTTTTTCCTAACTCATGCTTGTCTACGGAATACGGCGTGCTTCATAGATAATTGGGGCTCTGGGAGGAACTTCGAAACATGGGCGGACACCAATAACTTGATTCCGGAGCAACAGATCGTCAGTATGCACACCACGGACGGTGGACGGAGAAGTCGTCAAATCTCATTATGTCCACTGTCATAGCTCCTGACGGGGCTCGATGCGGGCTTACTCCTGACTGTTGCTTGCAAGCTCCTCCAGTGATTGCATCAAACCAAGCACCCGTTTGCACTGGTTCTTGCGGGCTCACGTGTGGGATGCAGCTCTTCGGTTGAACTTGTCGCGATAAGCGGTTCAGGCCACTCGAAGCGTGCTCCAGAATACATTGACCTACCCACTTAGCATGGGTGATGGGTTTGAAGTAGAGGGTGGGGGGTTCATGTTGAGTAACTTAGCCTTTGGACCAATCAGCACTGGGGAACACCATGCATCACAACTTAGAGCTGACCACCAATCCCTCCATCTACAACGGAGACAGATTTTCCGGGGGCATGGGAGGGGATTAACCTGTCTGGATAAACCCCCCCCCCCCCCCCCCTGGGGCGATCCCGCAAGCATCCGCACAGATCCCTTCCCCAGTGGTTTGCTGAGGATCACTGGGATCGAACAGAGGCCGTTGTCGACCGACTGAGAGGGGATTCTCAAAATATGGACCCTGGAAAGGGGAGCAACGCTGCTGCAAGTGGGATGCAGAAAAAGGAAATAAAATCCCCGATGATCCTCGGTGCATGGATGTGATTGTTCTGTAATACCTGGACAGAGGGGGGTGCGTGTGCCATGATGAGGAGCGTCGATTGCACTACAGCCCGCCCTTCCTGGAAGCCTCATTTGACGAGAATCTCACCAAGCCCGTAAGCTCGACTGGGGCCCGCAGGTCGATCCCCTCCTCATGAATGACATGGGGGCATCCCTGTCTGGGTATAAGGTTGACTTGGCACCGGGGGATCCTCCTCTACTGCCTGTAATCCATCACCCGGACAGTTCAACCCTCCAGCGCTTCCAGTCCCTTGGGTCTGATCATTGCTCATTGCGTCCGCCGTCGACCAAGGAAACTAGGCTGGCTCTCAGGCCCTGCCGGTCGGCACTTTTAGCATGCGGCAATCATTTTCTATCAGGGGCTGATGGAAGAAATGTAGAAGGAAGACGGGCGACGGATAACCCGCGTAAAGGTAGCGGGCTCGAGCTTTAGGTGTGATGTGATTGCAAGCTATCAGCCCCCTCCTCGCCCTCCTTGTCTGCATGAACCGACATTTGAATGCCTGGTGGTGTCTCCGTTGGTGCAACTTGAGCCGTCCCTGTAGCAAGACCTGCAGCGCCACAGTGCATGAAGTGGCGGTGCTGAATGGTCAGAGTAAGCTAAGCTCAGTCTGGTAGCATCAGCCACTGTGATCGACACCACCTGACTATCCTAGCGGTGCCTTAGCCCTGAGGCAATGTTTAGCTTGGACTTATTGAAGTGAAGCTGCTGCAGTAGTGCAAACTTACCTGAGTTTACCACACCACCACCACACCACCAAACACTTATCACTCCTCCACTAAACTCGCATCAGCTCCAAACTCAGATACCTGGCTAACCTGGCTAGATCGTATCAGGATCGTGTCATGTTCTGAGGGAGACAGCAACAAAAAAAAAAGTAATCCTAAGATTTGTCAGTTCGCCACCAGGGCTCGATCCATAGGCCATGGCCCTACGATCGTCCTACTATCCCTGCTCCAGACCCAGGCATCTCGGGTTCTATCACTTTGTGACTGTACGACTCTACTCAGCGCTTCAGGGCGGCCGCCGCTTATCCTGAGCAGCCCCTTGTCAAGTTTCATTCTCAACCAGAACGGTGAATGTTTTGGTGACGCTTGGCGGACGATGGCACCAGGCGATTCCGATCAATTCATTGCTGCCTGAAGCAATGCTGCTGTAACAATCACAAGCCCTGTTTTGATCTCTTGCCTGGTGGTCGCGCTCTTCTGCTAACGTGGTATTTCCGGATGGCAAGCTTCTCGATCCGATCAGCCATCGCTATTGTGGATTCCGCGGTATACGGTCCCGCCGAAGTCTCCAGGAAGTTGTGTCTTCCAGGGAGCAAGAGAGAAGAAAAAAATCACCTCCAGGGAAGCGAGCTCCATCCCTTGCAGAGGGCGTCAGACACAGCTTGAAGGCTCACTCGACTGAGAAAGCTCGGCTCGATCTTCCAGCCCGGGAGCTGCAGCAGGGATCATGACGATCCACACGGACCTCGTCTGCGAATTCGACATGTCTGTTTTCCAGAACCTGATCTGCCTCTTCGGTCAACGAGGCAGAATCTCCTGGGACTTGCCATTGTGCGAACATCGCCGGCAAGAAGGAGACACGTCTCTTTTTCTTTTTCTGGCCATCTGATGTTTAGCTTCCCTGGAAGCTGTACCGAAGATTCTGCAGGTCTGACTCTGCTCGTGTACCTCTCAAACGGGTGACCCTAGGATATACCGGTAGGTTCGTTTCGATTCTAACATAGCTTATCGCGTTTCAGTCTCGGTCTACGTCGGACAGCCTTATCTGCAGCAACAAACAAAACCGTGTCTCCGCATCCAGTCGGACTGGGAACTACGGTATTCGGTTTAGACGAGCCACAGTTGAACAGTTGTACGGAGTCGGTAACGGCTGGTGCGAGAGTGCACCGCGGCAGCCACCATGCAATAAGACCGATGTCTGTTGCTGGTGGTTTGCTCGTTTTCTTCCGAACCCCCCCCCCCATCTTTTCCTTTTTTCAAGGCACGGAAACTCACAGAGAAGGCTTCTTGCAAATCATGGACCCATCTGTGGGTGGGTGGGGTGGCGGGGGGAGGAGGAGAACAAACGCGCATACATACATGATACATCTCCGGATCCTCACTCTCTAGTTTTGTCGGTGAGCACGCTTGCGACGACCATATCCCAACAGTCAGCCGTTTAACTTAATCTGATGATTTATTGCATTGATTGCACTCTAGAGAACTTCCTATTCCGCTCCAATGGATAGGAGCTGTCACGGTAGGGCGAAGTTCCTCCATGTCGGTGAAGATGAACCACCAGTGGTCGGACAATATTTTGCCATTCTTCATCGGGCAAATCACTCGGGTTTCTTCTCTGTGTTTGTCCGCTCTTTCTCGCTCGGAATTGAAAGCTTTCAATCCCGGTGGTTTTCTTTTCCTGCCTTTAGATGCAGGTAGTTCTCGGCTCACCGCTAGCTACTCCGTAGTTACGGTGGCCATCATCACTGCGGAAGGGCAAAAGCCTTTCGTTCGGGCTTTCGGTGTCCAATGCGAACAATCCCATGGAGGTTCCCGAGACACCGGATGAAAGAGACTTGCTCCCTCCTACCTACCGGTAGGGGATATTTCTGGTCTAGCCAATCCCGACAGGTGTCGTGTGGGGGTTTCGAGTTGGAGACTTTTGGGGAAGCGTAGGTACAGTACTCGCGTCCTCCGTACGAAGACTCGTCGCCCCCTCCTCTTCTTCTGCTGCTGCTGCAGTTGTGACAGTAAAAGCTGTCTGTGAAACGGGACAATGTGCTCCAGCGGGGGTATGTACATGTACATGTACAGTGCTGCCATTAAAATTCACTCCGTAGCCTACCCTACCTTCTCCAGGCTACTCCCATGGCCATCCCACACCAACGAGCATGGTTACCTCCTTCGCATGCACCAGTAAACAAAGCCAACAATACCCGGTGAATGATCAAGAATAATCCCGTTGTCCGAACAACAACCAAACCAAACAAATTTAGCCCGAAGGTAGTCTGAGTAGACGAAACAAATCACTCCATATACATGCATGCATGCATGATCCGGGGTCGTCATCGCGCTAACCTCGCAAATTCCAGGTTTTATGTGTATGTGGATGTGTATGTACTCCGGCCTGTAGTGGCCACGAAGTTATCCTTGCCACAGAAGACAAACGTTTCACTTGGGAGGCGGGGCGAGGGGCGGGCAGCTGGCTCGGAAGCCCATTGCCACTGTTACTGTTCTGGTGGCCATCTAGATGAGTTGATTTGGTTGTTGTTGTCAGGATGGCGTGCTGTTGGGTTCTTCTGTGGGTACGGAGGGCTTGGTTGTGGGTTGTGGGATATGGTCTGCTCTGGCTTCGTGGTCTATGGTCTATGGTCTATGGTCTATAGCAGAAGGTGTACAGAGTAGCATAGCGGGTGTTGTAGGTTACTTTATTGCAGTTGGTGGTTTCGCCACTAGTAGAAGGAGGAGGTTTTTATGGCCAGTACCTTTTGTATCTCTCTGGTGGCAGGGTACTGACAGGATCGACATCCTGGACATCGTTCGCCATACCATCCGTGATTGGTACCTACCTACCGATAGTAGACCAGCGAGATCTAGAGAGCTGCTGGCAGCAAGTGCGCATCGCATTCAAACTATATGTCCAAGAGTCCTTCTGACCAGATTCGCTCTATCAAAGCTAGGTAGGTAATTCTCCCCTACATCCCCCAACCTCAACCCCTATATCGTATCGTCTACACCACCGATATCATTCTTTCCTTCTATAGAAACCGAAGACCTTACTAAAGACATCCCCGTACTATTAGGGAGCACCACGCTCATACCCAAAATAAAGGAAGGTACCCCTCCACCAGACCCAAATCTCCCTCCCATCTTCCATCCACATCTCCATCCACAACGGACTCTACATCGGCAGTACAGCCCATACAAGATTGAGAAGCCAGGACCGCGTGAGCAGGATATCCCGCTGCAAGCCCATCCACAACACTTAACGCAGACCCGAATTCAATCCCAGAGAGATTCAGAGCCATACTGCCACAGAAACCTGTTCTAATTGTTCTTTAGTGGAGTCGGGCATAAAGGCGCAGTTGACGAGGTCTAGACCCTTCGCTTCTAGGCCACCCTATCGAATATGTATGGTCTTGAGTACTAGGTAAGTAGGTAGGTACAGGACTGAGTAGCGTAGCGGTACATGGGGGGAGATACTTCAGGTTTTTTCCTCCCCAGGGGCAGGTAGGATGGTGTAGACTAGGCTGCCTGTTGGGCTCTGGATACATTGTACTCTATGTATGTACCTAGCGGTAGGTATGCAAGATGTGATGACTTAGGTACCCTTCTGTATGGCCTTCTGTATGGAGTTACGGGATCTACTAGCTGGCACCGGCTGGATACGTTGCCTCAATGTATGGTGTTGATTCTGTGGGTATGTCTGGCGTTCACTTGTATACCATGGGGATGGGGCTCTACTGGTTCTCAAGAGCTAGGAAGTGGGTTATCTATCTCTGATGCGAGGGTATGAAGTGAGCGTGTGGTTAAGGGACCTTCGGACTTATCTCTCAGGGCTTATGGTGCTCTGTGCGTGAAAGGTAACTGGTAGTCATGGCTTGTATCATAAAGTCGATGGCAGGTTCCTCCAAGGCCATTCGAGTGACTGCGTAGTGTGGAGCGCTTGGGACTTGGAAGCGGTTTGGTCTGGCTCGGCGGTCGAGTCTAGCCTGGTGTGATGAGGCCTGGTAGTACGGAATACCTACCTGTTGGGTCAGATCTGGCGAGTGATTCATGGGTATTGTACATGGGCATGATACCATGTCTATTCATCTTTCTGGTATTCTGTGTTTGCTGGTTGGGGTGAGGCGGGTCAGAGTACATTTCGGCCCCAAGAGTAGGATGTAGGGTGCGTGTTGCGTAGATCTATGACTGCATGGGCATCGGGTCTGGTCCTGGGTGTTCTCTGGTATGTATGCTGGGTAGTTGGCTGACTGGCTGGCTGACTGGCTGGCTGCTGGCTAATCTAGTCTTGTCTATCTATATGGTAAATATGTACAATGCAAGTCTTGTAAGGTCGGTGTCTATCTAAGGTGGAAAGCAGATCTTGGCTTGACAGATACAGCAGCAGGTATCAGAGAAATCACCAAAAAAAAAACACCTTCGTCGAGGAGCGGGGGTGGGTCAGCCACTACTACTTCCAATGCTGAACGAGTCTAGCCCTCTTTCTATCCTTCAATCCGATGCATCTATGCTTCATTGGAAGGCGTTCCGGACCTCCAGCTCAATCCGACCATCCACCACGCTCTTGACACTGATGCTGCGCAGGTCCTCGATGATCACATCCGCCCCGGCCGCCTGAAGCTGCTCCAGCGTGTGGGTCGTCGTCAACGCGATGACCGTGAACCCGGCCGCCTTGCCCGCCTTAATTCCCGAGGGCGCATCCTCCAGCACGACCAGCGCGGGCGAATGCTCCAGACCCAATCGTGTCCGACCCAAGAGATAGCACCGCGGGTCGGGCTTGCCCAGCTCGACGTCCTCGGCCACGACCAGCACGTCCGGGTGCGTCAGGTTCAGCACGCCCAGCCAGCCCTCGAGCAGGGCGCGCGTTCCGGATGTCACCACCCCCCAGCGAGCGCCCGCCTCGTCCAACGCTGACAGCAGGGACCGCGCGCCGGGAATCTCAACGGCGTCGGACCCGTACTCCTGAGGGATACGCCCCTCAACGTAGCTGACGTCTGTGGTGTTGTCAGCGCTGCGCGGTTGTGCTTTTCTTTTTTAGGTGGACATTCACAGCAGGGAAGGGTCTGTGTGTTGTTGAGGAGATCGTGTGTTGCTTGGGTGGGCCTCAAGGAGTTCGATCTGAACTGTGTAATGGCGTGCGTGTACAATCGGGGAAAACAAGAGACTTACACTCCCAGTTGGCCTTCGTCGGGTCATACAGCTGCAGCGTATCAATGCTTCGGCGTCCGTGTGAGGTCGCCAGGATCGTCGCGGGGTCCACGCCTAACTCTGCGCCAATTCTGTCAAGGGTGAAATTTCGCCACGGTTAGCGATGAAGAAAAAGTTGTACGGGTTGCGGTTTGGGAGTGTTGTATAGAAGACTGGACTGAACTAACTTGTGCCAATGTTTCACGATCGCTGGTGCGGGGGAGAACAGAGAAGGATCAGAGCGTCAGTTTCGATCGATCGAGGTTCCAGTGTGCGACGGGGCGAGAATGCAAATCATAAATAGACTTATGGCAGATTTTCCGAGAGGACTTACCATCAGTTGAGTCGACGATGGTGCCGTCAAAGTCGGAAAGCAGACCGTCGAAGGTGAGGATTTGCGGAGGGGCAGAGAAAGAGCCGGTTGAGTTGGACATGATAAGAGCGGGGTCCGGAGTAGGACAGCGGACTGGTGATGCAGAAGAGTGGAGGGGGGGTACTGTAAGCAGTAAAAAAGGTTCCCTTCAGAGCGAAGCTGTAGGATAGAGCGAAGTAAGGAGCGGACACAGTACAGTCCTTTGCGAACGAGTGAGGGGAATAAGCCGAAGAAGTAAATCTACCGTGATGATGGGAGATAAGTGATTGATTAGGTGATTGTCCCGCGCGGGAAAACGGAGGCGCAGAGGCTCGGAGATCGGCCAAACTTGGGGCCGGTTATCTTAGCGTCAAATCTTAGCGGCACAAAATTGTTGTCCGCAGCGACTCGATTTTCGCTGGCCTCGCAGATCAATTTGCTCGGCCTTGATCGCTTCTTTGTGTCTGTGATTTGATCTCTGCCAGATTCTCAAGATGGTCAAGCTCGGTAGGTTTGCTCTTGTGCTAATTTTCTTCCTTCGCAGAAACTGACTCTTTCCCTAGGCAAGAACTCCAAGCGGGTGCCCGTCCGCTTGAGGCACAAGATTGAAAAGGCCTCTGCGGCGAAGCAGCGCAAGATGAGAAAGCTCGCCAAGAAGGTAAATACTCTCTTACCACTTTTTCGGGTCGTTATATCCAGCTAATACGGCTACTAGAACCCCGAATGGCGGTCCAAGATCAAGAAGGACCCCGGTATCCCCAACCTCTTCCCCCACAAGGACAAGATCCTGCACGAGATCGAGGAGAAGAAGCGCTTGAAGGCGGAGGAGCAGGAACGCATCCGTGAGGAAGCCCGCGCGCGCCGCGCCGCACAGAAGGAATCCGGAGAGCAGGGCGCTCAGGCTGGCGCGGCGATCGATGAAAACGATCTTCTCGATGACGAGATGGACGAGGACGATTCGTCGAACCCCATGGCTGCACTGCTTGCTTCTGCCCGTGCTCGTGCCGCCGAGTACAGCGACAGCGAGGAGGATGACGACGACGAGATGGATGACGACGAGGATGACGACGACGAGGATGACATGGAAATGGACGAGGAGGAGGGTGGCGCTTCCCTGGAGAACATTACCGCCCCCTCGTTAGCAGCACAGTTGACCTCCAAGGAGAGCTCGCGGAAAGCCTTCGACAAGGTGTTCAAGCAGGTCGTGGACGCCGCCGATGTGGTCCTGTATGTGCTGGATGCCCGCGACCCCGAGGGCACTCGGTCCAAGGAGGTGGAGCGCGCCATCATGGCTGCCGACCGTGGCTCGAAGCGGTTGATCCTGATCCTCAACAAGATCGATCTCGTTCCCCCTCCGGTCCTCAAGGACTGGCTAATCCACCTGCGTCGCTACTTCCCTACGCTGCCTCTCAAGGCCTCCAACGGCTCGGGCAACGCGCACACGTTCGACCACAAGCAACTGACGGTGAAGGGGACCTCGGAGACTCTCTTCCGTGCTCTCAAGACGTATTCACAGAGCAAGCAGCTCAAGCGATCCATCTCCGTGGGTGTGATCGGGTACCCCAACGTCGGTAAATCGTCCGTCATCAATGCCCTGACGGCCCGCATGAACAAGGGCTCCAGCAACGCCTGCCCGACTGGCGCCGAGGCCGGCGTGACCACCAGCTTGCGGGAGGTGAAGTTGGACAGCAAGCTCAAGCTGATCGACTCGCCCGGTATCGTCTTCCCCAACGCGGGCGAGAAGAGCAGCAGCAAGAAGGGCAAGAAGAAGCAGGAGGAACACGCCCGTCTGATCCTGTTGAATGCGGTTCCCCCGAAGCACATCGAAGACCCGGTGCCTGCCGTGTCTCTGCTGCTCAAGCGGTTGTCCACCTCGGAGGATCTCGTTGCCAAGTTGCTGAAGGTCTACGGCGTGCCGCCTCTGCTCCCCTCCGGGGGCGATCAGACCCACGACTTCTTGGTGCAGGTCGCGCGGAAGCGTGGACGTCTCGGCAAGGGTGGTGTGCCCAACCTGGAGGCCGCGGCGATGACCGTCATCACGGACTGGAGAGACGGCCGCATCCAGGGATGGGTCAACCCTCCTGTGCTGCAGGTGGTGACGACGCCCGCCGACGGTTCGGCCCCGGCTGCGGCTGCGGGTGTGGACACGAAGAAGATCGTGACGGAGTGGGCGGCGGAGTTCAAGATCGAGGGGCTTTGGGGCAACGGCGAGGGCGAGGACGAGGAAATGGCTGAATAGATGATTTGTTCAGGATACCAGGCGTTTATGGTTCATAAAAGGTAGATAATTGAGCATGATTTCTTCTACTAGAGCTCTTTTCTCCTCGTAAAAGTTCCTTTACTGTGGAATGATCGCACTATCTCCCAGTTCCAATGATCGATACTTGGCTAGGATTATGGTTGTGGTCATTATGACATGTCAGTATCTTTGACCATCCGAAGAGATCGAGAATATATAGCAGTACTCCGTCCTACGCATAGACAGATGCACAAACTACACTCAATCACTTGAGTAGAGCCAAACAGCCAACAGAAAAAACCAAACCGCAATGCAACAGACAAATACAAGGCTAGAAAAACATTATCGACGTCCTGAGTAAAATCAAGATTCGACCTTCACCTCTATATCCAAGCATAGACCCGTGTCGTTGCTTATCGCCACCAATCGATAAGTGTGCCAAACCCGCCGCGGGAAGAGTAAAATGGGATTTGATCCACACGCGCTTTTCCTTCCGACAATCCCCATCGCGACGCGTCATTTTCACTTTGACTGAGTCTGTTCACAATCTCGATTTCTATCCCAGATCGCCTATCGTATTGCTCTTCTCGGCAAGGAGGAAAAAACCAACCTTCAATCCTGAAATCATCGACCCCGCGCAACCTCCGAGAACCAGAATTTTGGACAGCCGTGGGAAGGAAGGGGACAAGATCTTGGAAAGACTCGATCGGATCGCGAACACCGTCAACCGTCAACCCCAACCAACCCATCCCCCAGAAAAGATCTATATAAAACAAGATGGCTCGCAAATCCACCTCCAACACGACAGCAGCAGCAGCAGCAGCAGCAGCAGATCCCTCCTCACCCACGACGCAATCCCCGCCCTCCCACCCATCCTCCTCCTCTCCTCAACCCGACACCACAGCAGCAGGAACAGCAGCAGCTACACCCAAAACCAGCGGAGGAACCGTGGAAGCGACCGAACAGCAACTGAAAGCCCGCGCAGAAGCGGGCGTAGGCATTGAGGTATAACCCTCGCCCTCATCCTCGCCCTATCCCATCCCATCCCATCCATACCCACCCCAAAACCACATCCTTCAAGTATAATACTAACCCAAGTAAAAAAGGACTACCTCCTCCCACGCTCCCTAACAATCCGCCTGGCCAAATCCGTCCTCCCACCCAACACCTCCATCCAAAAGGACGCGGTATTAGCCCTGCAGAAGGCGGCGACGGTGTTTGTCTCGTATCTGAGTTCGCAGTACGTTTGTTTCCCCTTTCCCCATCTCAAAAAAAAAAAAAACCAAAATCCCCGTGGCAAGAGTCGGTGTGGCTACGGGCGGGGGCTTTCGCTTCACTTGAAACAAAGACTGGGCCTGGGCTGACTTTTGTTTGTCTCGGGTAGCGCCAACGAAGCCACGCTCAAACGAACGGTCGCGCCGGCGGACGTGTTCCATGCGCTGACGGAGTTGGAGTTTGATTCGTTCCGCGGGCGGTTGGAGAAGGAGCTGGATGCGTTTACGGAGTTGAAGGCCGGGAAGAGGAGGGGGAAGAAGGATGGTCTTGCTGCTGCTGCTGGTGGGGTGGCGGTGGCAGTGGCGGGAGGGGAGGGTGCTGCTGCTGCTGATGCTGATGCTGCGGAAATGATGGAGGTTGATGATGACGACAAGAATCGTGGGGCGAAGAGGGTTAAGAGGGCTGCTGTTGCTGCTGCTGCGAAGGAGGATCAGAAGATGTCGGATGGGGATGGGGATGGGGATGAGACGCAGGAGGAGCCGGGGCGGGGGGATGGGGATGAGACGGAGGAGGTGGAGGAGGTGGAAGAGGAGGAGGACGAAGACGATGACGATGACGAGGATGAGGACGACGACGACGACGAGGAGGACGGCGAGGAGGAACCCAAGGAGGAGGACGATATCGACCGGGTGGAGGATCTGGATGGAGGCGACGCCAGGCACCGCGCCAGAGTCATGAACCCGGATGTCGACGGGGATGAGACCGACAGTGAGCATGAGTCGGGGCCTGGGAACCAGCTGAGGGGGGAAATGGGTTAATGGATTGTCGGATACCTCGTGATGAGAAGGCGTCTAATGCTTGCAATGTACAAATGCGGGTTGGTACCCAAATCAACTACTACCGTTATCCTAATACACCACAATCATCATATGCTATGAAATTGCCTCCGACAACGCCCAGCGGTTGCCATATTATGCATTGTGATAGTACAGTAGAACCCGTAGGCTCAAGGTAGAAATAACTGATCTAAGCCAGCCCCTCCCATCCATCAGTAAATGCTCTCGTGGACATCCTCCATTTCATGCCGAACACCTGAAACGCCAGCACCCCGAATAGTCTATCATTGGTATCTCCTTAAACCAGATCCGAACAAATCCCCGACTGAAATCCAGCAAAAAACAAAACATCAAGCAGTATTTACGCAGCCGGCTCGTTGAGAAGGCTGCTCATCCCATTGGGAACGGATTTGGGCGAGATGGTCTCCGGCTGTTGCCAGCGGCTGCTGCTCCGAGGAGGCGTCGATTCGCCCTTCCCCACAAGCTGAGGAACCATCGGGCCATTGTTGCGCGCAGCGCCTGGAGGCAGGGGAACCATCGGCTTGTTGTCTTCCTTCTCCAACTTGACAGCCTTATCGCCGTCGGCCGTAACCTTCTGCGCCTTAGTGACCTTTCCGAAGTTGTTGATCTTTGAGTTCTTGGCCGGCTCGGTCTTCCTCGTCCGCTTCTTCGGCACAGTTTTCTTAGGCGCAGCCTTCTTCGTGCCGTTGGTCTTGGAAGCTTGGAGGACGTCTTGGAGACTGCGTCCGCGGCTTGCGGGATTAATACACCCGGGTTTGGATAGTGCCTTGGACAAGTCCTCCGAAATCTCCTCGTCATGGCTGGAAGACGGAGTAAGAAACCCAGTGGGGGTGCGCTGCTTCTTCCGGGGCGTCTGGATGACAATCTCGACTTCTCCTTGCTCGTTTTTCACCCGCTCGGCCTCGGACAAATTGCATTCATCGAATACCTCCTCTGGGGCATCCCAGCGCTTCAGTCCTGCGAGCCGAGCGACTTCTTCGCAATCCCCCTTGACCATCAAATCCCAGCAGTCCTCGAATTCTTTACCACTGGGGGGTTCGTTGTTGATCCACATTGTCACACCGTTGCGGCGACTCCGAATCACCGAGCACAGGCTCTTTACTAGGCGACGAACACCGGGGATTTTCAAACTCGTGCCCACGACAATCAAAGCATCAGGACGGGAGCGGATATCTGCGTTCATGACGGAGGTGATGGCTTCTTCATCCGGGTTGTGTTCGTTGTAGAGGACGAGGCGCGGTCGCATCTTGCCGATCCCGTGACTTCGCTGGCCCGTGTCCATGCGGAATTGGTTGTTGATGACGCACTCGGGACACTCTGGGGCATCCGGCCGATCGAACAAACTCCCATCAAAGTTACTCAAATGGCGGCACTTCTGACACACCATTTTCTCGAGACTGCCGTGCAATTGGATGGTGCGCGGCCATGGCGCTTTGACATTTAGAGGAATCTGGGTGGCCAGCGGGGGCATTGAGGTCTCAATCCCATCAATGTTCTGAGTGTAGAGACGCGTCAGGCGGTTTTCCTGGCCCAAACGAGCCAGCATGTGGTGGAACGCGGTCGGGGAGGTGTTGGCAGCCTCCTCCGACAGCGACCGGACCATGTCCTGGAAAGAAGCGGTCAAGGTTTCATCCTGATACACCGCAGCATCGAAGAGGAGCTTTCCCGACGCCTTGAGGTTGTGTTTCTTTTGCAGGGTTTTGAAGAGACCATCGCTGGAGCGGAAATCGGGAACTAGCAGGAACAAGGAAGTTAGAATAAGAATTAGATGCTGTCATTGTGGGGGGGAGTATGAAGGGAGGGGGGAGTATAGGAAGGGTTCTTCTGGGGCAGGGTGATGACCAGGGCAAGGAGGTTGCATACTTCCTGCAGAAGTGGAAATGCCAGCACCGGCAATGACGACAATTTTGCGATGACGGCGGAGAGTCTTGACGAGATAATCGATCTGCGACTGCTGCTGATCATAGGAGAGAGAGGCGGAAGGCGATAGGTCAAGATGCTGAGTGCAGCGTTCCTTAGGGGCGGCCACCCGACGCTTCTTCCGAGCGGGCGGCAAGTCGTCTTGGCTGCGGGCGGCAGCACTACCACTACCACTGCTAGCTTCTTCCGTTTCCTGCTGCGATGGGGGCGGCGACGGATAGAACTCGGGTGGTGTCATGGGAGAGGGCGGGGCTGAGCTCAGGCTCGAACAATCCGAATCATCATCCATGCCTAGAGAGGCTAGCTGACTGTGTGGTGTTGAACACGAAGAGTTGAAGGAGGAGGAGGAGGAGGAGGTGGTGGTGGTGGTTGAGGTTTGGGTTTGAGATCGTGAAATAGGCGCCATATTTGGTCAGACCGGGAGGAGGTGGAGTAGCAAAGAGGAATACAAAAAGTTGAATCACACGAAAAAAGGTGGCCGGTCGACAGCAACTGCGTTTTGGACGGAAGTTGTCGGGTACTCGTACTAGAGGTCCGTGGAGAGTAGCATCGAGCACGGAAGAGAGAATTGGAACATCAATTGCAGACGAGGAAGGACCGGTAAGGGGCGCGGGTTCCGAGCAGAGAATTAAATTCCCTCCAGTCTTCCTTTGTTCGGAGGGGAGAGGGAGGGGGGAGGGAACAAATTGACAAACGACCTGGAACCAGACACGGAGAAGTCAAGATATTTAACAATCAGAAGGGAGAAAAAAAAAAGAAAAAGAATAGCGACTCAGACAGAGCGGAAGAGGGGGAAAAAAGGAAGAAGGATGAGGATGAGGAAGAGCAAGAGAACGAGACACCAAGAAACAGAATAGAACACTCGAGCCCCGTGACTATTGGGGGTCAAGGGAGAATGATGAGGTCAAGTGGGATGATGGTGGCTGAATAGGTGAACAGATGAATGGAACAACAACCTAAGGAGGAGAAAGAAATCTAGCCAGGAAGACGAAACCCTGAAGGAGATTGGAACTGGAACACCCGTCCGGCTGCCGGTCAGATCCTCTCTTTCTCGCTTGCAGCGTGTTTATTTTGACCCACGGGCAAAGAGAGAGGAGCCAAGTTGTCGAAGAGAAAGGGAGGGAGGGAGAGATAGGGCACAATGCCAAAGCTGGCTGCTGTTGCTGTCTGTAGGTCTAGTGGGTAAAAGGCGGGGGTGGAAGACTAGACAATTAAAAGAAGACAGCAACGGTCGGCATGTTGCGAAGAATGTCTGTATCAATTGGGTTAACGGTTATAGTTGGTCGATATCTTTATAGATACTATCTGGCTCGTTGTTGCGTTGCGAGGCTGTGATATATATTATTATATCATCGGACAGGGCAGAGCTGGAAAAAAAAGAAGAGAGTACCGAAAAATTCGGGTAAAGCCATACGCAGTGGGAGAGTGTGTTTCCACTGTGTTGGCTGATCTCGTTACCAGACTCTTACGCTTTTAAGAGAATCGCGGTTAGACACTCCCGTGTCTACTTCCTCCTCCACTTCGTCTGATTGGCGGAACCAGCATTGTTTTTATAGTCCAGGTTAACTGGCGCAGTGAGTGAAGGTGCAGTGCGGGCATGATGTTCCCCCTCCCAAAGTCGCCCGGTCGCATTGTGTCTGGCAGTCCATTGACAAGTCATCGACCTTCAAGTGACATGTTTCTGGGACTGACAGTGGTCATCATCCTGTTTTTTTTATTTTTGTGATTTCCATTGAAGTTGCTCAGGATTCCAGCTGGCTACTAAAACTTCCAATTGCAGCTAGCCCGCGTCCACCTCACTTAACACCTCCAGCTCGATAGCATGGATCATGCTAGTACACGCCATAATATCCCAGACATGATCCCCTTAGTCTAGCCTGGGATACTAATAACAACACCCCGAGACGCGTCTTTGAGGTGCAGATCTCACTACCGGGCATAGTATCAGCCACACCAAAAAGGGCCGTGCACCTAAAAAAGCCAATCTCTAAAAGTACGTAAATCTGTTGCAAAGCACATGCAGAAGTGATACTGCCGAGCAGCGAGCTTGAATTTGGTAGCTCTAACACCCTGTCCACAGCTGCATCCATCCATTCATCCATGGAGACGGTTGACTTGGATCAGGGTTGATGATGTCGCGTGAATCGGAAGTGGGGGAGGCTCTGATTGGTTCGTCTGTTGGCCCGGCTACGGCAGCACATGACCTCACATGACGCTGACTAAGGGGCTTCCGGGGAGGGATCCACTACCCAAGCCCAGCTAGTCAGTTAGTAACTTACAAATGAAACTAACATCATGAGAATCGTCGGGATTCATGCTTTTTGTTCGCCCTGTGTGTGAGTAAGGGTGGATTTCGAGCTTTGCAGAGCGGGAGGTTATGAGGCATTTCTCTGATCTCTGAAAGAATTCCTAATACTGCCTTCCCTGGCGTCTGCTAGTCGTGTTCTTCGACACCCCACCCCGTTGTGACTGTTTCCGGGGTCTATCGCTCTAAACTATGCTGCCGGGCCAGTGCGATATCGCTCTCCCTTTTAGGCATTTTGATAACTGTTAAATTCAATCTTTCCCCAACCCATCATGCCCCTGATGATGGAAGACGGTATCAATGTTGATGATCTCTTCGGGGAGCCTGCCTCCTTGGAGCTGGGGCTGCCAACTACCACTTCCACCAAAGGCCTGGCCGAGCGCTTGGATGAAATGCGCTTGCTTGGTTGCTGCCAGTGAGTCGCACCCCCACAGCAGATCATCGTCAGGATTTGCCAGCTAAAATCCGAACTAGGAAAATTGCATGGTCCAAGTTAGGATGCATTGCCTACATCGCCCAGGATCCGTCCAAAGTTCATGTTCGTTATCTTCAGTGCCAGCCGACTGATGGCAAATGGACGCTCAGTGATGAAACGCCCTTACTGCCTGTCACGGAAGCCCACGGTGGCACTGCCTTGGTGCATCTGAGTTGGAACGAGTCTGGCTCTGAGTTAGCCGTAGTTGATTTGTCTGGCCGACTCTCGATTTATTCCATTCCGATAGCACTCAACAGTGTTAACGGGCTTCGACCACCGTCCTTGGAACCCGACGATAGTGCGCAGATAGTCGGGATGCTGTGGCTGAACACCCAACGCTCCGTGAGTACCCCAGGAAGCTTCGTTTGAATATGATCTTAACCTTCTTCAGGTGCATGCTTTCTATCAAGCCGCCAAAGTGCAAGGTCGCTGGGCTTACTCGCCATATCGTCGTCGGCCAATTGGCCCCTTCCACCCAGCTAACAAGGCTGCGCTGGTCTATATCACCAGGTCTGGAATGATCAAGCTCTTGTATCAAAACCCGGATGGGAAATGGGCAGAAATATCTGCCGAACTGAAGAACACCAGTTATTCAGACCGGATGTTGACCCACGCGGCATTGACGGCGACCCAAAATGGGATTCTTGTTGCCACATACTCAGCTTGCCAGAAGATCTGTGTCTATCGAGTGCAAATCAACTGGAACCCTCCTCAATATGATCCTGCACAGCAGCCTAAACAAACGCCTCCCCAATTTCCGGTTCCCAGCTTTCGTTTCGCACATTGTAAGGTCGAGACCTCCTGCAGCGTACCTGGGCCCGCGCGAAACAATGGGGATCCTTCCGATCATCTTCAACAACCTTTTCCTGACTCTCTCTACTGCCTCACCCGCTTGGATGTTATCCTACCAACGTCTGATAATGCGGCAGGGTCCTCTGCCACCCCGTGGATCGTTGCAACATTTTCCATCCTCCCTCAGATCGCCCCTGATCATCCACACCAGCAAGGACCATCAAGTATTATTGTTCGATGGCAACTTGAATCTGCGCCCCTTACTCTCCACCCCAAGTTCGATGAAGTCACGACAAAGCGAAACAGCATGCAGATGAAAGCAAGTCTCTCGAAATTAGTGAAGGGGTGGGAATCATAAGTGCTAACATACATCCAGGCCAAAGCTGTTCTCAATCGATTAGAAGATATCTTTTGTGATAGATACGTCATGTCAATAGATCACATTGAATATGCCAATGTGCTAGCCGTGACCTACGATGACAGTTCTATCTCTTTTTACGATCCAAAAACCATGGCTGCATTCAACGGGGTTGATGATGCGAACACAGTGACTAGCCTGGCCCAAGCGGGTTTCCACTATTCTCCCGACACTCCAGGTCAGTGTTCATCCTTCTTCTCATTGGCGAGTAGCACTAAGCACTAGATTTAGGCCTTCATATTAGTTTTTCACCTAGCGCCTGTGCTGCTGTTATGTTGGACAGCAGCGGGCACGTCCAGCTTCGGGTGATGGAGCACTCATATGGAGCAGATAATGGTCTCTACGACGAGAGTACGTCCTTCTCCCACATCAGACTGGCTCATGCTCTAATCTCATGATTCAGACAAATTTTCAGCAGCTATCGCTGCATTGACATTGGCATTCTGTCGTGGATGTGGAAGTGAAGTTAACACGGACGATATCTTATTAATATTAATACGTCAACTCTCCCCTGGTTAGTCACATTGTACTTCTCGTGCCCATGTTTGAGACTAACGACAGTTACAGACGCTCAAACCTCCTTCATCAATGAAGTCTACCGCGCGCTGCCCATCAATTGTAACTTCACCGTGGAACAGGACAAGCTCATGAACCACCCCTATATCCCACGTTGTCTCAGCATTCAGGCTGCACTGGGCAACAAGGGTAAAATTCACCAGCGAGGCTTCGCATCTTCTGTCTCGTGGAATATCCTCCAACTGCGCCACGCCTCGATTCTCTACCCGTTCTTCTTTCAGTATAATAAAGGGATTCAAGCAGAGCCCCATGACCCTGGTATGATCACTCCGTGCGCCCGATTGAGATCCTCACTAACCACATGCTGCTCATAGATGTTCTTCGCATGGTCCTTGGTAACACCAAATGGGCCCTTGACTTCTCACTCTATATCCTCCACGAACTCTTCAATCTTGCCGACGAATTCGAAGATGTATCTTCCGACCAAGAGGCTTTCAACCAGAAACGTAAGTTGACGGACTCCTACCTTATAACCGGAAGTTAACCTCAATGCTTCATAACAGTCAAAACCACCAACTCTCTCTCCCTCATAATCCTCCTCTCCAGCATGTCTCGGGCCTTCCTTCGCTTTATCTGCCGCGGGCTGCGCGGTATTCACGCCGGCTACGCCAACGCCCCGCTTACCGGCGACGCCCGCGTGTATTACACCGAGATCTGCCAGGCCGTAGAAACGTCGCCTGCGGCCATCGACGTGTACGAGAAGTTCCTCGCCGGCGTCGACTCCGCGGTCCGCCACGCTTACCACGGCGCCGGGTTTGGCGACGCCGAACGCCCCGGCCCGGAGAAGGAGCTGCTCGTCAGCGCGCGCATCCCGCCGGTCCTGGTGACCGCCGTCTCCACCATCCTGCGGCAGACGATCCCAAGCCTCCGGTCTGACGTGAACCGCATGGATATCTACATGCGCGACTACAGCTGGCTTGGGTTGGACTCGGACCGCCGCACGGAGCTGTACCGCCGCACCCGCGGACTGGACATCATCAAGAAGATTCCCATCCGGCCGACCCCCCTCACAAACGGGACTGCACAACCGTCGCTGGGTGAGACCAAGTCGAAGGATGGCCATGCGGCGACGGGGGTGGCGGCGGGTCAGCCACTACGAAGGAGGTGTGTGCGTTGCTGTGAGGTCTCGGAGGGGTCGTATCCGCCGCGCTCGGTGCTGGCGTTCCGAATGATCTTTAAGTTGGGACATTTACGGGCGTGCATTTGTTGTGGGATGTGGATTCTGGAGTCCGGATCTGGGTCGGCGGAGGTGGGAAAGCCGATAGGGGCTTAGGTGTTTCCCTCCCCTGACTTGCGTGGAAACCTAGTGGTGCTCATGGCATGTGCAGTGGACTTCCAGTCAAAGATCTGGGGAGGATTTTGGGTATGATAAATGATGTATGGATAGTTTAGGTCACGAGCGTGTGTACATAGACCAATTGTCTTGGCACTGTTGAGTTTTAGTCGGACTTCACTCGAAGTGAGGAAACTAGTCAACCTTGAAAGTAATGGACAACCTGAAAATGAGAAGGGGCTGCAGAGCAGCTACCTAGAAGGCAGGTAGTCCCTACCATCTTTATCAATCACGAATGCCCGCCATCAACACTACTCGCGGTTACTGCCAGACAACCCTCTACAGACTACCCGTTGAAGCAAGAGAAACGTTTGAGAAAGGTGTGGTATCATGTCATGTAAAGCCTTTCATTGAAGGGAGAGAGCGAAGAAAAAAAAATTAATACCCATCGATCCAATTTGCAATCTTTACTTTTTCCTGAAAGACAACAAAAGAACCGATTTGTTAATAAATTTTTTTTTCTTTTCTTTCTTCCCTAGATTGGATAACCGGACCCCTTCCCACACAAGGTGCCACAGGTCAAAACCCCGTTCATCATCAATTCTTTTTAGGTAGAAACAAATTGACGTTCCCGTTTCAAAGAAAAACAAACTCCATCCCTTTGCCCCCGTAAGGTTTCTTTACATTTAAGCCTGGAGAGAGGGGAGAATTAGTGTGTGGGTTCAAGCTGGGTGGTCCCCGTTCCGTCGCTGGCTTGGTGGCATATCGTACCTTAACAGCGTACTTGCGCTGGGGGAAGTGGATCTCCTTCTTGCGCTGGCGCTCGGTCTTGAGGGTGGCCTCGTGCTTGGTGAGGCGGCGGCGGATGGCGCGGGTCTGCTTGGCGCGGAGGTCGAGGGGAGCGTACTTCTTGTTCTGGTAGAACAGGCGGAGCTGGGCGCGCTGGTTGGCGTTGATGACGGTGAGAACGCGAGCGATCGACTTGCGAACGTCGTGGCTGTTTGTAGCGGGTTTCAATCAGCATTTTCCAGTCCTGAAACTTCTCTGAGGTGTAGTGTGATTGCGGGGTGATTTGGTCGTGGTGGTGGATGCGAGAATTTGCGCCTGTTGAGATGTTGGGTTTTTCTTGTCTCTTCTTCGTGTGTACTGTCGAATGCGGGGTTTTGATTGCAGATTGACTTGATCGAATTCCTTCATGTTTGTTTCCCATAATTCTTATCCCCGCGATGTTGTCGTGGTTCTCTCGACTTGTCGTCGTGGTGTATTATCCCGAATTATCGAATCCCTTCCCATTCCTCTCTTCCTCGTCCCCGGTGTTTCCGACAGGTCGCAATTTCTCGCATCATACGAACACACACACACACACAGAGATCTCACAAGGGGGCAGAATAAAGGGACTGGAACGCACATTCTCGTGGTCTTCGACGAGGCACCGTTGGCGATCTTCTGGACGCGGAGCTGGCTGAGCTCGGTCTTCAACTCCTCCAACTGCTTGGTGAGGTCATCCTTGCTCTTTCCCCAGAGCTGACCAGCCTTGACCTTGGACGACTATTTTTTTGTGGAATATCAGTTTTTCTGTGCTCGTGCTTCATGATTTCGGCGAACAGCAATCCAACATACCATGGTGGGCGGCTTCGTGTCGGTATCGTAACGGGTTGTCGACGTGAAGGGGATTGAAGATGGACCGGGTCAATTTGGTGATGGTCGTTGTGGGACTAGGGTTTGATTTTTTCTGGGTGTGCGGCGGCTTAAGCGGGCACGTGATGTGTGGCTGGTGCAGGGGGAGGATGTGGATGGTGGGAAGGCGGTGGGCGGTGGGCGGTGGGCGGTGTACTTGGGCCTGGGTGCCTGGACTGTCACGGGTCAAGTCACTCAATCAAGTTACCGATCGAGTAAGATGGGGGCGGCATGGGCACCGGCGCCGGCGCCGGCGCTGCGGACAGAGAGAGGGCGGCGTCATCCTCTCTGACTTGGCGCTTCTTGCGGCCAGTCCAGTCCAGATTCTCCAAAGCTATCTCATCTAGACTTAAAGTCAACTACAGCCCCGTGTGTGTTGACGAGAAACTGGGATTTCCGCAGGCCGGACGGAGGTTTCTCTGACTATTGATGACTTACTTTCCTCTACTAAAGTTCTTGACTCACATACCCCATTAATCCGGCAACCTCGCTATATTCATGGCTACATCAACCGGTGCCGGCTGGACACAGCTACGGCAACAAGCCCGATCTCTGGAGACACAGGTATACCTACCTCCCCTCTGCGCAATCTCGCCATCCCAACACAAGATTCTAACCAGCCGCCGAAAAAAAAAAAAAAAAGACCGAAACCCTCTTCCACACCTACTCGCAATACGCCGCCCTCACCAAACCACCCCCCACCCCGTCCGAAGAAGAACTCCGCACCGAATCCCAACTGAAGGAGATCCTCGATCGAGTGCGTGTGCCCAGCCCCGACGCTTTCCTCCCCCCTCCTTTCGCATACATACTAATCGATGGATCTGGAACCAGCGCGAAACAACAATAACCCACCTCTCGCGCCTCCTCGACAGCGAAGCCACCCTGACCGCCTCCGCCCTGAAGCAAAACAACCTCGCCCGCCACCGCGAGATCCTCGCCGACCACCGCCGCGAATTCGCCCGCATCGCCGCCGCCATCGCCGAGGCCCGCGACCGCGCCAATCTGCTGAGCCATGTCCGCCACGACATCGACGCCTTCCGCTCCCAGAACCAGTCCGAGGCCGACTACATGCTCGAGGAGCGGGGGCGCATCGACCAGAGCCACAACGTGATCGACGGCGTGCTGAGCCAGGCTTACGCCATCAACGAGAACTTCGGCCTGCAGCGCGAGACCCTGGCCAGCATCAATCGGCGGATTGTCGGCGCGGCGGGCGCCGTGCCCGGCGTGAATGCGTTGATTGGGAAGATTGGGAATAAGCGGCGGCGGGATGCGGTGGTGCTGGGGGCGTTTGTCGGGGTGTGTTTCTTGGTGGTTTTTTTCTTGAGGTGAGATTACTCGCTGGGTTGGGTTGGGAGGGGATGTGGTGGTGAGTTGGGGATTTGGGGGGATGGGGGTATATTGGCGGTTTGCGGAGGGTAGTGGTGGTGGTGG